ACTGCAGCCTTGAAATTAAAAGACACTTGCTCCTTGGAAGAAAAGTATGACCAACCTAGCCAGCATATTAAGAAGCATAGATATTACTTTGCCAACAAAGGTCCATCTAGTCCAAGCTATGATTCTTCCAGCAGTCATGTATGGATGTGAGAATTGGATTATAAAGAAAGCTGAGCACCAAAGAATTGATGCTTTTGAATTGTGTTGTTGGAGGAGACTCTTGAGTGTCCCTTGGACTGCAAGGAGATCCAACCAGTCCATTCTAAAGGAAATCAGTCCTGAATGTTCATTGGAAGGAGTGACGCTGAAGCTGAAACTCCAATACTTTGGCCACCTGATGGGAAGAACTGACTCATTGGAAAAGACCCTGAGGCTGGGAAAGATTGAAGGTGGGAGGAGAAGGGGATGACAGAGGATGAGATTGTTGGATGGCATCACCGACTTGATGGACGTGAGTTTGAGTAAACTCTGGGAGTTGGTGATGGACAGGGAGGCCTGGCGTGCTGCAGTCCATGGCGTCGCAAAGAGTTGGACATGACTGAGTGACTGAATGGAACTGATGCCTTCTTCTTATTTTTTTTTTATCCTTCCTGTTCCTTTTCTGTCTGTATCACCTCTTTCCTTATATGGGACTTCTATGTGCAGTCCTCTGGTTCTCCCAACGACTCACTTAGATTATAATAGCCCCTATAAACCAGTCAGCTTTACCTTTTTCTCCTGCTAGTCCAGCTCATCACTGCTACCAGATAAATCTCTTAGAAGAGTGTCCTCACTTACCTGGCAGAAACTTTATGTGGGAAAATTTTCAGTCTAAGAAGACAACTGGCCTCAGTCAAAATACCAGCAAGTTGCGTTGTGGATCTCAACAAACTAAGGGTTTCCCTGATAGCTCAGTTGGTAAAGAATCTGCCTGCAATTCAGGAGACCCATGTTCAATCCCTGAGTGGGAAGATCCCCTGGAGAAGGGAAAGGCTACCCACTCCAGTATTCGGGCCTGGAGAATTCCATGGACTGTATAGATCTTGGGGTCACAAAGAGTCGGACACGACTGGGCAACTTTCGCTTTCAACAAACTAATAGTAAAGTTTGTATGGAGAGGCAGAAGATCCAGAATAGCCAACATAGTGTTGAAAGAGAACAGTGAGCGACAGTAACCAAATCAGTGTGGTATGGGTACAAGAATAGATCAATGGAAAGGAATAGAGAACCCAAATATAGATCCACATAAGTGTGATCAATAGATCTTTGACAAAAGATCAAGGAAACACAATGGAGCTGGGGTAGTATCTTCAACTAATGGTGCTGAGACAACTGGACATGCACATGGAAAAGAATGAATGGAGACAGTTTTACACTCTTTACAAAAATTAACTCAAAATGAATCAGAGGTCTAAATGTAAAACACAAAAATACATATAATTTGAAAATTATACATATATATGTGTATATATAATACTTTTATAAAAAAATTGAAGACCCTTATTAGTAGCCAAAGAAGTAATGTTTCCAAGCTTTTTCTTTTCTCCACAATGAACTTTTATTTATTTGTTTATTTATTTATTTATTTTATTGGAGTAAATTGCTTTGGGACTCCCCTGGTGGCTCAGATGGTAAAGAATCTGCCTTCAATGCAGGAGACCAGGTTCGATCCCTGGGTCAGGAGGATCCCCTGGAAAAGGGAATGGCAACCCACTCCAGTATTCTGGCTTGGAGAATTCCACGGACAGAGGAGCCTGGCAGGGGGCTCTCAAAGAATCAGACATGACTGAGCAATGATCACTTCACTTCATAATTGCTTTACAATGTTGTGTTACTTTCTGCTGTACAGTAAAGTGAATCAACTGTATGTTTACATATATTCCCTCCCTCTGAGACCTCTCAGCTACCACCCTATCTATCCCACAAAAGAGTGCTGGGCTGAGCTTCCAGTGTTAGACAGTAGGTTCCCACTAGCTCTCTATTTCACACGTGTAGTGCATATATGTCAATCCTAATCTCCCAGTTTGCCCCACCCTCCCCATCCACCTACTCCCACATGTCCATTTCCTATGTCTATGTCTCTATTCCTGCCCTGGACGTAGGTTCATCTGTGCCATCTTTCTAGACTCCATAGATCTACATTAATATATCATATTTACTTTTCTCTTTCTGACTTACATTACTCTGTATGACAGACTAGGTCCATCCGTATCCCTATGAATGATGCCATTGCATTCCTTTTTATGGCTGAGTAATACTCCATCGTATGCATGTGCCACATCTTTATCTGTTCATCTGTCATCGGACAGTTACATTGTTTCCAAGTCACGGCTACCGTAAATAGTGCTGCAATGAGTGTCTACTACGTATGGCACATAAAATGAAAGGGGAAAAGTTATAACATTGAAAACAAGATGGCTTTAGAATATACAGAACTGTTTTAGAATATACTTTTCCACTATTTATAGGGTCAGAGAAGCTTAATTAGAAAAAAGATTTGGAGGCTTATCTATGTTTATCTTATAAAACTTCAGGAACTTGCAGTCATTTTAAAGAACTGGAAAGATTTTTTTTTTTCCCTCAAATGTCTGATCAGGGACCAGAACATTTATTTTTCAATGAACTAGAAAACATTGAAACCACATCTCTATTGGAGGTATGTTGATTTTGGATGAGAGAAAAGAAATTGTGACCTTAGATTTTCATTCCCATCCAAGATACCTTCCATAGGACAAGTTACCAACAGAGACACTCAGACTTGCTAGAATTATTAAATTTCTCCTGAACCACTTTGGAAAGTTACATAAAGACATACAATTGCCAACTGACCCCAAACGGACAATTTCAGAATGCATAGGTCTGGCTCTAAAGTGTGCAACAGAGTTGTTGTTTCTCAGTTTGTTTTCAGTTTTCCAGCTGAAAGGTGACTTGTCCAGTAGATTTGGCAGTATGGGGTTATACTTGCACCATGCTGCTTTTCACACCTGCCTGCCTTCCGCTTCCTCTCTAATCATCATACGAGAAAAAGTGCTTCGCAAGCAGTATTTTGTATCCTATAATCAGATTAAATACACATCCTATTGGAGTACCCCCCAAATTTTTATTTTTTATGTGCACAATTAAACTGTTACACTAAGCATATTACAAAATGCTCTCCTTCCTTCTCTAAAATCGAGTTGCCTGAAGCCACATAAAAGTCTTTGTCATTTCCAAGGAATTTGAAAGACAGATTTTAACCATTTACTATTCTTGTTGAGTGATCTGAGTCCTTAGGCTTCTATAAATGAAAAAGATAGTCACCCCACTTGCAGATATTATCTGTTCCCAACTTCCTTTTCTGCTCTAGTTCACCTTTCAACCAATATGTTTGAATGTTTCTATAGAAATTAGACATGAAAAATAATATATATGATCTGATTTCAACCATGGAAAATGTACATTTTAAAAATCCTGTAAGCAACATGTTTTATTTTTACAAGGTGAAGAAGAAATACTTCACCTTATTAGTACTTCCTTTTGGCTGATGACATTCAAATTCACAGAAAAAATAGATAAAATTTTATAAAATGTCCACAAATGAGCATGATATAAAACAGAATACACAATTATTAAAAATCAGAAAAAAGTACTGTAAAGTGCTAATAGTATTTTTCTACTAGTAGCTTGACCATAAATAATTTAATTTCCTCTACATTTTTATGTATTTTAAATTTTCTACAGTAAAAATAAAAAATTTTATTGAAATTTAAAAAACTTAATTGAAAGTATTTTGTAGAAACATGGATTTCTATCAACAACAAAATCAAGTAAACATCTAAAATAAAATAAATAAGCATCTTAGTCACTAATTAGACATTCCACAAAGAAGCTCCAACCTATCTTCCCACAACTTCATTTTTCACTACTCACGTTCACATCCTTTTTACTTCAATAAAAAGTTAACCCTTTGCCATTTTTTCAGAGATGCAAAACTTTCTTGAGTCTGTATGGTTGTTTATCCTGTTCCTGGATTTTTCTCTATATCCAAACATTTCAGTCTTCACTTATTTGTGGCTTTATCCTAGGCTTTCTCTCAAGCAAATATATTTCCTTCTTCATAATTCTTGTACAATTTCTTTACTTCTTATAAAATTAGTTACCAGTGATCATCTCCTCTGGTAGATTATACTCTTTTTTCCCTTCTTTCATCCTTCCCAGCTAATTTGGTCACTTTTTTCTATATTTTTCCTCTAAATGTTATCTTCAAATCTACAATCTTAATTTGTTTAGTCTGAAACATTTAAAACTGTGACACTTGAAAAACAAGTGAATAGCTAGAGGAATGTTTATATCAGTTGGAGGTAGCAAGGATCATGTGCTAGCCTGTCTGATTAGTCATGGAGAAACATGATAAATAGGAAGACAAAAGTGAAAAGTTATCAGATAGAGTCCTACCTGGACTAACTGCCTGCTTTTAAATCGAAGTTTGAATCAGATTTAGGTATTTCAGATCAAAGGCTCAAAAAGTGAATTTCCCTTTCAATTTTATTCTAGAGTGTATATCTTCTGTTTTTACAGAATTTAACAGTATAGACTCTGGCTATATATGTTCAGCTTTGTGTTTACTTACCTCTTATCACATTTGATTTTAAATACATTTTTCTTAAAACTGCATGTAAAAGTTCTACAGAATTCTGACTTTTTACCAGGTTAACTTACTTCTTCTTTCAAACCCACAAATGTAAACTGTCTAGTAAATACCAGTCATTTTTTTCCAGAATTAAAAAAAAAAAATGCCCCAGTTTTCTTCTTACCAAGACAGGAAGCATTTCCTGGAGATTAATCACTCTTTTGACTTGCAAAATTGGAAACGTTGGGAGAAATTAGTAAAGTAGGTTGTATCATCATACTCTGGATTCAGAATTTTTGGAAATGGTCCTGTTGCTGTTTGGAAGAAAGCAATCATGAGTCAAATTGTGGGTGATCTAAACAAACACTGTCACCTTATAAAAATCGGACTCTAGACCGTGGACCTAGGAGAAGATAGACAGAGAGCAAGCCATTAAGACAACATCGAGCTGAGAAAAGTCAGTGGAAATGAGAAATCTTCCGATTCTGCTGTTGCTATGTGTGGCAGTGTGCTCAGCCTATCCTCTGGACAGAGCTGCAAGGGACAAGGAAGACAGCATGGAGCTTGTCCAGGTAATTAAGGGAGACGGTCCTCACATCCCCTGATGGCCCAGTGGGCAAACTCTCTCTGCTTTCTATTTATAAAACTCACACAGAATTGTTGGAACTTACTATGTACGAAGTTCAAGGGCAGAGTTATATAGTGTTGCACATGGAAAGGGTCTCAGTATCACTCATCTGGGCTTCTCTTTTTATATTGGAAGGAACAAAAGCCAGAGATAGTAGGTGTTTTCCTAAGATCAAAACCACCTTAGTAGCAGCATTGTTTAAGATACATGAATAACAAGCGGAGAGTGTATGAAATGTGTCTTATTTTGAAACTTCTGTAGGTATTTTAATCCAATATAAGGTTAGATGGATATTTTTATTGCTGCTGTCATGTTTAGACACAGATTTTTCTAAGTTTTTTTCTTAAGCCAGCTCCTTATGAGAGGCATAAAGTGGAAAATTAAATAAATTAGCTGAGATAGACAAATATACACAAAGAAGTTTGATTTTGTTTATCTCCTTTAAGTTCCCTAGATACTTACCTTGATTTTCCAGTTCATGGCAATTTTCATTGCTCTGGTAGTAAAATAAGCTGCAGAGATTATTCTGTTACAAAGATAAAGCAAAAGTGAAGAAGGGTCTGTAACTGAAGAATTAAACATGACATTGACTTTTATTTCAGGAAGGTAGAAGACTATTTCAAACAGATTAAATGAGCAACTGCACAAATTTACTGTAAACTACTAAAAATCATAAGAATGACCTAAAACTATACTTATTTTCCATTAGCAATATCTAGAAAACTACTACAATCTTGGAAAGGATACGAAACAGTTTGTTAGAAGAAAGGACAGTAGTCCAGTAGTTAAAAAGATTCAAGAGATGCAGAAGTTTCTGGGGTTGGAGGTGACAGGAAAGCTGGACTCTGACACTCTGGAGGTGATACGCAAGCCCCGATGTGGGATTCCTGATGTCGGCTCCTTCAGCACCTTTCCTGGTACGCCCAAGTGGAGGAAAACTCACCTCACCTATAGGTAATGGGTCCAAAGAGATTTTGACATACTATTGAGATTTTATAAATTACTATCACAGGAGAAATAGTATCTTTATTATTATTATTTTTCATACAGAATTGTGAATTACACAAAGGATTTACCTAGAGATGCTGTTGATTCTGCCATTGAAAAAGCTCTGACAGTCTGGGAGGAGGTGACTCCACTTACATTCTCCAGGATTTATGAAGGAGAAGCTGACATAATGATCATATTTGCAGTTAGAGGTAAAAAAAAAAAACGAAACAAAACAGAAACAAGGGGGAAAAAACCCACACAAAATTTTATCTAGTGTTGTTTCATTAGAAAAGATTCCAAAGAGATCCTAATTATTGATCATCCAATAAATTTTTTTCTCTCTCTTAGAACATGGGGACTTTTTGCCTTTCGATGGACCTGGAAAAGTTTTGGCTCATGCGTATCCACCTGGATCAGGGTTTTATGGAGATGCTCACTTTGATGATGACGAACAATGGACAAAGGATACATCAGGTTAGTGACACATCTCTCAGAATGATTTTGGTGAGATTTTTGTTTTAACTTGGAGAAATCTTAATAACTGAGAATATTGAGGAAATGGAGTGTAACAGATTCCCAGTGGAACAAGAATCAGCAGAGGCAGACTGGAGATGGGAGTAATTAGAAATGGCTGGATACTTTGTCTCAAAGACTGATTTCAAGAACGAGCCTTGAAAAACACTTGACTTTCCATTAAGAGTAATCAGTCAATTGACCAATTAACCAAAAAAAAAAAAAAAAAAAAAGATGGCGAGGGGGCAACAAAGGTACTGTGTGGTTCCAGGAAATAAACGAGTATAATAGCTGACCAAATGAACATAATACAGAGCTGACCTGTATTATGTACGTGTATTTAAGGAATAAGTAACTGTTATCTATGATTTCTTAAATAGGGATCAATTTATTCCTTGTTGCTGCGCATGAACTTGGCCATTCCCTGGGCCTCCAACACTCAACCCACCGTGAAGCTTTGATGTACCCAGTCTACGACCCGCTCACAGACCTCTCTCGGTTCCGCCTTTCTCAAGATGATGTCAACGGCATTCAGTTCCTGTACGGTGAGTGATGCTGGAAAATTAGACGTGGTAGCTTTGCAATGATGGTCTTCAGGAAAGCTTCCAAATGCTGCATAAAGCATTTGTAATTTAACTTGAGGCACTTTGAGAACGTGTGGAAAGCATATACAGTGATAGAAGCATCATATCCTGCTGATGTTTGCATCCTCACCTCTGTCCTCTTTAGGGTCTCCCCCAGTTTCCCCTAATGACCCCGCGGTGCCCACGGAATCGGTGCCTCCCGAAGCCGGGACCCCAGCCGCATGTGATCCTGCCTTGTCCTTCGATGCAATCAGCACACTGAGGGGAGAAATCCTGTTCTTTAAAGGCAGGTCAGTCCAGAAAGCTTTACATTCCCATCTATTCTTCTGATGTATCAATACAATGCTTAGAGAGGAAAACAAATGGAAACTTGATAGAGATTTTTAAACATTTAAAACAAAACAATTTTGCTCTGAGACTTGAAATTATTCTGACGCTCCACTTTCCACATTTTCCTAAAACTGTCAAGTTCATTTTCAAAGACTTAGGATGACTTGATTTTCATCCTGTAACTGTCATTCCCAAATATTAATAAGTAATGGTCACTTTTGAAAAGTCACAAGTAAAACTTTAGAATCTGAATTTTTTATTTATTTCCTTTAAAAATGATGCCAGGACACTATTACATTTAATCAGTTAATTTAGTCACTGCTGGATAAATATGCACATGATAAAACCGCACAAGTGGAAAGAAAGTTAAAAGAAGTCATCATCACATCACTGATTCAGTTTCTCAGTTCTCCCTATCTCCATCCGTAGTGATGAGTGCTTAAATAGCCTTCCAGAATTATTCTGTGTATATATAAAAATATACTTACATGTACGTGCAGCTACATACACATCTCCCTTTCTTTTTGAAAATATAAATGATGGTGTAATATATATACTGTTTTGCATTAATTGTAGGTGTTTAAAGCTTATAATCAATTGATTACTTTGCATTATAGGATAACTTCCCTTCCACAGAGACATTATTCTGGAATCCTATGCCAATAGGTCCAGTGCAGTCTTCTGGGGAAAAAAATGAAAGATTTTTCCTTAACGGCAGCATACCTGATTTCTGTCTGTCATTGATCCTAGAGGGTGTGGGAATGGAGGAAAATGGGTGAGGAAGGAGAGTGAGGGAAATATGCCAAAAGGTGAAAGACTTTTTCCAATTTTCATTTCTTTTTGCATATATTTCAGACATTTTTGGCGGAAATCCTTCAGGACATTTGAACCTGAATTTCATTTGATCTCTTCATTCTGGCCATCTCTTCCTTCAGGCATAGATGCCGCATATGAAGTTACTAGCAAAGACACGGTTTTCATTTTTAAAGGTAATTATTATGTAACAATTTCTTTAACTTGCTGAAATAAAGCTTCTCACTGGAAAATTGATTAAGACTTTAATTTTTTCTACAACAAATTTTGTCTGCTTTATTGCTTAAAGGTAACAAAGCTGTAATTGAGACTGGCATTATTTTACTTACATTTTATAGATGATGAAATGAACACAAAAATAGAAATAGCCCAGTTGTAAATTCCCTCATTTGGAATTTACAACTGTGTTCATTCCCTCTGTGTTCATTCATTCAACCTACAAGGTTTTGTTTAATGTCTATTTGAGGCTGCTAAATCTAAAATTCTGGCTTTTTTTTCTACTATGAAAATCAAAGGTGCTAAGAAGTATTTCCAAAACCAAAGACTTCCTTGTTACGGATTCAATGTGATTGGGTTTTGTTTCCCATAAAAACAGGAAATCAGTTCTGGGCCATCAGAGGAAATGAGATGCAAGCAGGTTACCCAAGAGGCATCCATACCCTGGGCCTTCCTTCAACAGTAAGGAAAATAGACGCAGTCTTTTCTGACAAGGACAAGAAGAAAACATACTTCTTTGTAGAGGACAAATACTGGAGGTAAGACTTGCTCATAATAACTTTGTATGATCCTAGTTAGGGAAATTATCTTCTTTCTCTAAGGAAGTCGCCTGCCTTCCTCTTAGACCTTTGTCCCCCACGGGGGGAGCGGCGGGGCTCTAGACAGCTGCGGGGAGTCCCTGCGTGTGCGTTCAGCCCCCCGGTCATGCTCAACCCTTTGCGACCCCATGGACTATAGCCCGCCAGGCCCCCCTGTGCATGATTTCCCAGGCAAGAATACTGGAGTGGGTTGCCATTTCCACCTCCAAGGGATCTTCCTGACCCAGGGATCGAACCTTGTGTCTCCTGAATTGGTAGGAGGATTCTTCACTGCTGAATCATCTGGGAAGCCCCAGTGACAACATATATGGACCATATATGATAGGAAACTCAAAATTTGTGTTTGAAATGAATGACTGAATTCACTTTGTGTTCGCATCTTTGTGATAGAAGGATGATTAAGATTCTTTCTGTCCAGACCTAAGAAACATGGTAGCAAACAGCATCTGCTAGATCAAGATGTTGCCTGTTTCTGGTAGAGAGATAGTTTTAAGAGCCAGGTTTGTACCATTAAAGTCACACATTTCTGTAGCACTAAACATGTCTGACATTTATTTGCAAATCTTGGAAAGTTGACTAGAATTCCACGTTAACCCTGAAATGATTCACCGGTTTTGATAACACGGCCTCTGTGCAGTGCTGAGTTTTGTTTCTTTTACTTGGGGCAGATTTGATGAGAAGAGACAATCCATGGAACCAGGTTTTCCCAAGCAAATAGTGGAAGATTTTCCAGGGGTTGAACCAGAGGTGGATGCTGTTTTTCCAGTATTTGGTAAGAGGACACTCCTTTTGTTGGTAGCGGGGCACTTGAAACATTCTATGGTACCAGAAGAAAGAGGAAAGTTGAAGTATTTAATAACAGTTTTCTTTAACCAGGTTTCTCCTCCCAACCCTAAATTTCAGCTTACAAATTTCATATCAATTGTATGATTACCTCATAGAATAAGCTGTATAAGAACCCCCTCAAGTGGTGTGGCCAAATTCAACACTGACCAGCTGGCTTCTCCATCCCACTGCTAATTCCCATAGAGAGTTTATCTGTCTTTCCTGAGTAGTCAGTCAGTTGCCAATATTTAACTTTCTATGAGCCCAAAGTTTAAAAAAAAAAAAAAGATTTTTTTTTCCCCCTCAGGGATAGAAGGGTGGAGGGATAGATGATCTTTGTTGAAAGGTAACCTGAACACCAGGATGGCAGAGTCATAAAGGATCATCTGGGTCTGAAAGAGTCCCTGAGATTCTCTGAGGCCAAAGATTCAGGCTTCTTTGTCAGGAAAGGGGAGGAGGAGTATTCGGAAGGAAAAGCATAAAGATACACAGTTTCTGAAGATGCAGAGCATTTTATCTGATTTCAAGCAGAATAACCTAATAACCCAGAGCCTGGTTCTGTTGTCAGAAGGAGCTGGAGTGGGTGCTGTTCCCATCCTTTCCTTGTTGAGTGACCTTGGGCAGGCATCTAAATTTGTCTGAATCTCAACTTCCTCATGTGTAAAATGGAGTTAGATATATGTGCCTCATAGGATTTTTACAGAAAGAAATGAAAATAAGAGTCATGCAAAATGCTTATCATAGTTCCTGGCACATAGTTAATCTCTATTAACACTTTCTACTTTTAGGTATCTGTTATTCTGAGTCTTGTGTGTTGCCAAATTTATCTACTTGAAGAAAACTATCTCATTATTTCCCCTGTCTGCATTTGCAGGATTTTACTATTTCTTCAGTGGATCTTCGCAGTTTGAATTTGACCCAAATGCAAAGAAAGTGACACATGTGTTGAAGAGTAACAGCTGGTTGAACTGTTAGGAGAGATGTTTAGAAGGCACAACGTGGGCATTTTACGTTAACCTGATAACTCTTCACCTAAGTCTCCGTGAACTGAAGTGACTCGTGTTCTCCTGTGTGTGCAGTGACGGAGACCGAGAGTGTGAGCTGTGTGTCTTGCCCACTAGCCTCACGTATCAGAGGGCATTCAAATGGGCTGTGCATTTGTACTCTGGTCACTGCATCAGCGTCCCATGGGAACAGGGAACAGGGTTAGCACTCTGCAATAGGCAAGCGACTGTATATAGACTATTTGCTTATTATTTAATAAAGAGAATCTGTCAGCTCCTTTATCGTGTTGGTTGTTTCAGTGAATGCACTTTCCTCATGATCTTGGGTGTATTGTGGACTGATCAGTGGACTGGAAGTACAGGATCAGGGTCTCCACGGCTGGGGCCTCAGAATGGGCTCAACCAGAACTGCAAACAATCTGCCATTTCCCCTCCCCAGGTGCCCTACCAAAGGGATGCTATTTCCACCAACCAGGCATCGTGTGTGTTCCTGACACACCTAAGGAGAAAGATCTAGGGGAGTTGTCACTGTACAGGGCAGGCTCTGAAAAAAGTTGTGAAGCAGAATCCTATAATTAAAGCAAATCACCTAGTTTACACCTATTTTTTTCTGGTGGGGAAATAAACCTGTTCTTTATCTTCTCCTTTTACTTATATATTCCATCAATGGAGTTCCTTTCCCTGCCCAAGTAAATAGTTGTGCTCAGATCGCCTCTATTCACCCATGAAAATACCCCCCTGTATTTTGTATATACCCTCATTTTATATCTGTCCATGTCCCCGTAAGCGCCCATGGACAAATGCTTGTCCTAAAACCGGTTTGCCACTCCTAAGTAATACATGTAGCACAGTATCGGCTACACATAAGAGCTCATTCATGCTATAACTTATTAACTCATTTGAGAATAATTTATTAACAGTATTCCATGTTTCAGGTATTGTGCTAGGCTGTGGGCATGGGAGCCTGAGGAAATGGACACCGTCCCTGCCTCACTGAGATTATAATCCAGCAAGAAAGACTATCTGCAAAGAGTGACAAACAGGGGCGTGCAACTGTAATTTTAGTAAGAATTATAAAGGAGAAACTAGGCTTCTTTGACAGAAAAACAGGAGGAACTCCTCCGAGCTGGGTGGTTTTAGAAGTTTTGGAAAATGGCATTGGAGAAGGTTCTGAAAGAAGACGTGAAAACTAGCTGAGAAGATGGTTTGGACTAAAGCTGTCACAGGGGTGAATCAGATGGGCATATGAATATATATATGATCAACAACAGAACTCTATGATGGCTTAGATATGGAGTTTATTTAACAGACAAAAGTGGCCCAGATAGCTTCGTTGAGCCTACGGGTTGATGGGGGAAGAACTGGAAAGAAGCGGTTTTGTGAAGAAAGGGCAATAGTTAGGAAGAATTGCTCAGTTTTGCTAATTTTTGAATTGTCTGAGAGAATTCCAAGTAATACCATGAAATAAATGAGTTTAGAACTCAGAAGATATAGTGATCATGTTTGGTGATAAATGTTAACTAAACTTACTGTGGTAAACATTTTGCATTGTATTCACATACCAAATCATTATGTTGTACACCTAAAACTAATACAATGCTGTATGTCAATTATCCCTAAATTTTCTTTTTAAAAAAGAGAAAAGATACAAATATGTGGGATTTTTCAGCATTTGATTAGTCTTAGAGTGCAAGAGATACCAAATGAAAGATTTTTATGATGTAATCTTAATAAATAACAATATTTGCCAAGGATTGAACATGTCTTTATTTTAAAAGTTAACTAAATTTATTTGGCTTATTTTTTGATAGATACTATGCAGCCACAGCATGAATTTGAGAGGTAAAAAACATGCAATGAAAAATTAATTTTCCTCGCACATTTATCGTCACTATCTAGTTCCTTTTTTCAGAGGCAACAAACTAGAATTTTAGGAATCCTTTCAGAACTATTTTATACATATACAAGCAATAATATTATCTTTATAAGTTAAAGAGTGTGTGTGTGTGTGTGTGTGTGTGTATTAGCCGCCCAGTTGTATCCAAGTCTTTGCTAACCCATGGACCGTAGTCTGCCAGGCTCTTCTGCCCATGGGCTTCTCCAGGCAAGAATACTGTATTGGGTAGCAATTCCCTTCTCCAGGGGATCGTCCCAAACCAGATCTCCTGTATTACAGGCAGATTCTTTACTGTCTGAGCCACCAAGAAGCCCTAAGTTAAAATGGGGCATATAAACTCACACTGCTCTGCCATTTGCTATTTTCACTTACTATAGCCTGTCAACCATTCCACATCCGTACATGCAGAATTTGCTTCACTTTTTCATGACTACACTCTGTGAGATAAATATGTGATTTATTTATTCAGCTTCTTATTGGTCACTAAATTAGTGATTAAATAAATGCATGCATCAAAGAAATAAAATTTAAATATAAAATAATAAAAAATAAAAATATATTTAAAGTAAATAAAACTATTACATTAAATGATAATTAGTGATGTGTAATTTGTTGTTGTCATGAGTATCCAAATGGCCCACATGGTGGAGAATATAAACAATAGTTTCCCTACTCCTCCATCTCTGCTCAGACTTTGAAGGTTAAACTTTTCATCAGATATGCAAGTGTATTCAAGGATATTCATTGTAACATTGGGAAAAATGGTAAATAAATAATAGTAAATAAATCAAATATAATTGTAGGCATCAGTATACTATTTTCAGTATTCAGTGTATCAGTAGGTGATTTTAAATATTTTCCTATTATTTGATTGGCATGCAAAAATAAAGCTGCTCTCAGACATTAACTAGTCCAACTGAAAGTCTGACATATATTTTTGTCCTGTTTTAATGCAGAAATAAATACTTTACATACATCACCTCACTTACCTCTTATTTGGGAGGTAGAGATTATTGCATCAGTTTTACAAATCTAAGGATTGCTGCTCAGAGAGGATAAGCCGAATCCTCAAGGTCATGCTGATAATAAATGGCTGAACCAGAGATGTAATCCATCTTGTCTGACACCAAACTTATGTATGATCCCCTCTGCTTCTCCCTACTCTTTGTATTGATATGGACTGACTATATATGTGATGAAAAACAAAAGAGATGGAGCAAATGAAAGACTGGCAGAGGTAATAAGTCAAGAGCTGGAAAAGAGATAAAGAAAGGAACTGGCTCTTTATAGCTGGCTGGATCAAAAGGGGAGGTTGGAGGACCTAGGCATCGGTATGTAATACAGACTTTGAAAAGTCAAAGGTTTGTAACTTGAGTAATTTCTACAAGTGCTGCTTTATATATTTTTCCATTTAAATAAGGAATATTAACTCAGGTAATAGAATATTTTACATGCATCTAAGGGTACAGGAATATGGCTTGTTTTTAATAAACCATTCATTCATAATTCAAGAATATTTAATGACTTGTCAATTAGGATTCTGCTGGATAGTAGAAAGGGACAGTGGGAATCTCTCTCATCCATTCATGCACATCACTAATTAGATGATGAGGCATTTGGCTACCTTAAGAGAGTCATAGATTAATCCTAATTGTAGATTAGTGATTTTAAAAAATCACTGCAAAATCTGATACTAGAGGAAAGGGCATGGGTGATTCATAAAAGAGCATTATAGAGGACTCTCACACCTGGGACCACATGTGACACATGAGACCACAGATACATTGTCAAAGGCATGAAAATATTTTATATAGATCTGTTACAGAACATCAAATTGATTTCCCTGACACATTCTGAAGACAATTTAACTTTTAAACGTTTCTGCACATTAACTTGTTTTGAATTTCATTTTCCATGAAGTCCTAACATGTTACCATTTGACTCTGTAGCAAATGAAAATGTCTTTTTCTCAGTGCTTTCAGTCCATGTCAGTTTTGTGGTTAATCAGATTCAAATTACATCCTCATGAGCAAGTAAAAACTTGTGAGGAGAGTCACAACCGCAAGACTACAGATGGCAGAAATCTAGGTCAAAATTCTGACTAAGAAAGGACAGAAGTGCTTCCAACACTTTCGGAGCTCACAGTTTGGGGATGATACCGCTGATATGGAAATAAACATAAAAAGCAGACAGGATAGGAGACATTCATTTCTTTCTTTCCTTATTCATTCACTCTTTGGGCAATAGTTACTAAGTACTCACTGTATGCTAAGCACAGTGGTAAAAGCGTGGGTACATTTGGATAAATCAGTGAACAAAACAGATGAAGATTTTGTCTTCTTAAAACTTACATGCATGAGAGAGGCAGAAAAGAAACTACAATTAAGAACTATAAATATACGACATCGTATGTTAGAAGGAGATACATGCTTTGGAAAAAAGAAAAAAAGAGAATGTGGTAAGGGGATTTCAAATGAGGAGGGCTGGGGTGGTGACGAGGTGCACTATAAACGCCACAGTACAGACAACGTGAGCCTCCCTGAGGAAGTGATATCGGAACAAAGATGAAGGAGGCAAGAGAGCTGGCCAGGTGAGCTGGGAGAAAGAGCGGTCCAGACAGAGAGAACAGCCGGGGCGAAGAGGCCCGAGGTCCCCCTGCTCAGTGGTCAAGGGAGATCAAGGGGGCTGCTGGCGGCAGTGAAGTCAGAGGGCGGGGGTGGGAGGGCTGGAAGAGAAAGGCATGGAGATGCGGGTTGAGGCAGGAGCAAGTCCTGTGGGGTCATACGGGTCGGTTTAAAACTTTGGGCTTTGGGTGAAATGGAAGAACCCTAGGAGAGAAGAGGTCAGAAGAGCCTCTGGATACTCTGTTAGATTATTCATAAATCGTACGGAACAAAGATGTAGAAGCACAGAGACCTGTTAGGAGTCAATTGCACTGTTTTAATCAACGGAGGATGGTGCCTCCAACCAGGTGGTTAACAGTGGAAGTGGGGAGATGTTATCTGAGATGTATTTGCAAGTAGAATCAGCAGGATTTAGGGTGTGAAAGTGTGAGGCTGTAAAGTGTGGGAAAAAGAGGAGTTTGGAGGACCTGACTCTTCTAGGACAATGCTGTTGAGCCGCCCTCACTTGAGGTGTGAGCAGGCTGTGGTGGGAAGACTCTAAGTTTAGTCTGGGGCTTGTGTATTTGCGATGTCTATCTTACAACCATACAGTGATGCTGGATTTATGAGTCTGGAGTTTAGGGAAAAGCTCTGGATTGGAAATGTAAATTTGGGAGTCATCAGCACATACATGGTTTCATTTTTTATTAAAATTTCTTTGTTTTATTTACTTATTTTTAAATTAAAGTTTTTAATTAAAAAAATCAACTAATA